GCTTGTCGTGCGACTCATGAATGCGTCGGAGCTCTCGCTCGTCGATCACGGCGCCAATGACCCGTCGATTGCTTCGTGCCATCCATCGGATATGTCTCGCACGCGATCTATGATGATGACGTGGCCAGCATCGACGCGCTGGTGCACGACAGCGTCGACGTCGACAGTAAATACGTGGTGCGTGCACGCATTCTGCGCCGTTTTTTGGTATTCTTATTCTTATTCTTGATGACATGAGTAGTACCGATATGGACGCACGCCATTGCACGAAGCGGCGATCACAAGTCAACTGCCCGTTCTTCGCTTCTTCCTGGACAAGGGCGCCAAAATGGACGCGCGCGATAGGATACATTGTTGTGGAAATTGTTCTATAGTTTATGGCTGGATAAACAAATATCATTGTAAAACTGGATGACACCGCTGCTCTTGTCCGTCCTTGACGATGACTTCCAGAGCGTTCGGCTTCTCTGGGAGAGGTGCCGACATGGATGCGCCGGACGTTGAACGTAAACTCAGAAAATAGTCGGCACTTCGCCTGGATGGCACCCGAGGTCGCTCGCGTCCGGCTTGGCGATACAGGGCGGTCGACCGGCCCGCTCGCCGACGTTTACTCGTTTCGTCCTCACTGAGCTTGACACTCGCAATACATCGTAGTACGCCGACGGCTACAAAATGCAAAACACTTTGGGACACGACTTCAAGCTCGCCGACCAGTGCTGGCACTCGACCCCACCAAGCGCCCGAGAGCCAAACAGCATGGCGACACTTCAGAAGGTGACCAAGGCGCCGGATGGGGGTGGTTCACGTGTATCATACATAGCGTATGGTGGCAGAAACGATGGCGATGGCAATGGCCTCAACACCTCGTTGTCGTCGACCTCGCCACATCGCGCTGCTCTGTCCTTTTGCCACGTATATATCCACTTTGTACCCCGGGGCACGAGATATCACCTTGAGAACCAGATGTGCAGGAGTCCGGATATCGTTGAGCGCGTGGATTGGAGGAAATCAGCCAATACCAAGCGGCGCATTTGCAAATCATCCAGACACTTTCATTGAGGCTCACCACAGCCGACCACTGTGACGCGACCAACGAGGTACAAGGAGAAGCAAAGGACCTCTTCACCTCTGGATCCATGTATAGCGTGCGCTCTCGATTCCGCCAGAAAAGGCAGGTGGACCAGCTGGTCCAGGACCGTCTCCGCGCCGGCGTCAACGTCCATTGCGTCAACGACGACAACGTACACTGCGTGCCATCGCCGCCCTCTTCCTCGAATCACGTTGAATAGTTTAGCTGGCGGCCACTGCACCAAGCAGCCTCCAATGGCCAAACGCACACGTCTTGCTTGTTAACAGTCGAGATGGACTTGGAGCTGGATGCGAACTATCGCGGCGTCGCGAGGGTCTGCGTGATTTTTAGGGACGTCACCTTGTAGCAAGCTCGTACTAAGTAGCTTGTAGTATACTTATACGTTGCAGAGGTGACGATGCGCAGTGTCGATATCGCTTGGTCAGGCAAATGTCCCTTGTGGTCGCTTGGCATGACGAGTGGCAAATGATAATTTCGTGCGTGGATTGGAGGAAAATCAGCCAATGACAAGGGGGAATGCAAAAGCCGATCATTTTGCAACATGTTTGGGTTGTGGCAGACGCCGGAGCAGACGAAGGCGAGGGAGACGAAGGCGAAGGAGGTGCTCGGACGACGACGCCAATGGTACGATGCTCATGCGATGATGTAGGAAGCGCTTCTCTACGCTGCACGAGGTGGCAACTTGGCTGCCGTCATCTCCTCTCTCAACGACCGCGTCAACATTGAGTGCTACGACAGCGTACTCTTCCTCCATCGATCCACCATGTTTATGGATATGACTATGGGAGTAGAATGGTTGGACGCCACTGCACAAAGCTGCTATGTGTGATCGTTTGGAGATTGTCCGCTTTTTGCTTGAAAAAGGCGCCAACATCGAAGCCAAATCCACCGTACGTTGTGTGTTGTCCGAAACGTCTTTTCTTCATTCGCAAATTTCACATATTGCGTTTGCATAGTACCTCGACACGCCACTGCACTATGCCTCGTACAACAATCACGTGGAGATCGTTCGTCTTCTCTTGGCTTACGGCGCCAACGTCAATGCGACAACCAAGGTACGTTTTCACAAAATCCTCACTCATTTCCATCAAATTTGGACTTGTAGTGGAACCAAACGCCACTCATGCTCGCTCAAGAACAAGGTCACGTCCAAGTCCAAGAGCTTTTGCAAACCGCCATGGTAAATTTGTTGATGCGCATTTGTTGGACTATCGGAATACAAAACTATACTTGTAGCTTGCCAAGGCTCTGCGCGAAAAGCGCATTCTGGACGCCAACAGTCTCCTCCAGCAAGAGGCGATGAACGTCAACCATCAGGAGCCGGTGCATATGCCTCAAAGGGCTACGCTTTTCTAAACGTAAATTTGTAGGACGGAACGACGTTGCTGCATCTCGTACTAGCGATGCAAGATCTCAAGCTGCTTGAAACCATGCTTGAAAACCCCAACCTTGCGATCGACGCCACCGACTCGGTACACTAAATACTTCCATTCGATCCCTTTTGACGAAACGAATTAGAGTGGGAGGACAGCACTCGCCATCGCACTTGCTACACGCAACATCGAGGCAGCGTACGCGCTCCTTCAGTCAAACGCGCAGCTTGACGCTGTGGACAAGGTGCACTTTTAACTCTCTTTAGCGATTTCCAACGACATCATAGGCCATCGTGGCAGGAGTCTTGCGCCACGCAGCGTCGACCAACAACAAAGAGATGGTGGCAGAGCTACTAAAGCACGGCGTGCACCCTGCGACAACCAACGAGGTACACTCTGCGTCTTCTCAACAGATGCTCACCTCTGTTGTACCATAGAATGGCGAGACGGCGCTTCACTTTGCGGCTGCGAACGGCTACATTGCGATCGTTCAAACGCTGCTCGAGAACGACGAGTCTCTGCTTGGTCTTTGCGACCAGGTACGCTGACCAACACATTACGCAGCCATATATATTGTGCGATACAGAACGACGTCGCAATGAAGGGCCACAAGTGCATCGACGCCACCAACCAAGTACTTTTCTACACACTCTACCTCTCCTCGTAAGCATCCTTCACATGTGGTGTAGGCCGGCGAATCGCCCATCTTCGTCGCTGCGGCTGTTGGCCACGCAGACGTTGTCGAAGCACTTGTACAAGCCAACGCCAAGCCCCACCGTGTTTCCAACGTACTCTGAATGACCTATTTCAGATATGAAAAGGCCCCACGTCGGGTGTAGGATGGCTCGACGCTGTTGCACGCGGCCGCCGTCGGTGGCAACCCACGCGTTCTTGGATTTGTCCTACCCTTGTGTCGTGATGGCTTGGAGACACGTGACGAGGTGCGCGTCATTGTCTGCGATTCACATATAGCCAATGACGTCGTACTTCATGTAGATGGGACGCACGCCCTTGTTTGTGGCGGCCGAGAAGGGCCACGTCGATGCCGTCACGGCCTTTCTCGAAGCCAAAGCCAACATCTTTGCTATCAACAAGGTAGATTCTGTGATGCACAATAGTCCAAATACTAAATAGGTAAGAATCTAGGTCGACAAGACGACCGTGCTCATGGCGGCGACCACTAACCCCAATGAATCGGCTGTCGAGGCGATTCTCAGCCACCTCGTGCCGACGTTGACCTTGAACGATGCGTCATACAAGGCATTGACGGCGCATCGCAAGGAGCTGGTCGCGGCCCAAGCGTATCTCAACCAGCGCAACGCGGTAAGAGTCCTTACCTCCACATGTAAACTTACTATATGCGATGCACCATTAGGGACGCCAGACAGCCTTCGCCCTCGCGTCGGGCAATGTCCTCGATCGCTTGCCAACTCAAATGGAGATCTTTGCGGCCAAACGATTGCGCGTGGACCAGGCCATGCAGCGCAAGGTACACTTGATCCTTCTGTCGAATGAGGTAGATGCGAATAGGAGGCAGCTTTGGCGACTGCGATCTCGACCTGCGACTGGACGACGACCTCAGCGCTCTTGGTCGATGGCGTCCCGGTCCGAACGAATCTTGATCGAGTTCGTAGCCCACAAACCGACCGCGGCCATTGCTAAATGCACGGTGTAGGAGACACTTTTGGCGGCGATCGCTACAGAAGACAAGCCGGAGCTCCTCCACTCGCTCGTGGCGATGGCGGTTTACACGGATGACGTCCTCCTGCTCCGATCGGGGCTTCTCGCCACGCCCCTTTGTCACGAGGTATTTGATGAAATGGATTCGGCTCACGCTACATTTTGTCTTGTGATTTGTAGACGCTTCAAAAGGCGCTTGCGGATGCTGTTGCCAGCAACAAGACGCGCATCGTGATGGACCTGCTTCGCACTTTTCCGGACGCCGTGCACGGGACACCCTCGGTACGCAGTACTCGCCCGATTCTATATCGGTTGGATACCACTATCTGCGTAGAAGGGGCCGTCGCCGCTGCATTTCGCTGCTCAAGCTGGCTCGATGGCTTTGCTCGGCATGCTAGTGAGCAGTCCCCGCACCAACATTGATGCAGTCAACGAGGTACATTGTCCTACTAACGTTAGTATCGACTCTAATCGGTATGTGTTGACAGGAGGGCTACACGGCGCTTGCAGTGGCCGTGCAAGCCAACCAAGTCGACGCAGCATTGGTGCTCCTTAGCGTCGGCGCGAATGTGTCGATTTCGCTGCCGGTACGTCTTTTGGTGCAATATCTTGAATCACTCTGACGTATACACTGTAGGATGGCTCCTCGGTGCTTCACGTTGCTGCCAAGCTACCTAACGACGGTGATGATTGGACGTTGCTGCACGCCACTTTGAAGGCGCCGAGCCTCAACATTGACCAATTCGACACGGTGCGTCTTGGTTCTCCTCGTATGAATCTCAAATTATGCGTTTTCAGGACGGGTGTACGGTGTTGGCCCGCGCCGTCCTCGCCGAGCGCGAGGACCTCGTAGTTCTCCTTGTCGAGGCCGGTGCGGATGCCACGCTACCCATGCGGGTGTGTACACAAAACCGTATTTTTGATGGCGACACGTTAATATACCTATGTAGAACGGACAAAGTTTGTCCATTTTGGCGACGGCCGCCCAACGTCGGCACCAAGGCATTGCGACGTACCTCAACGAACGAGTGTATCCGGCAGCCGCCAAGGTATAAAAGAGTGGCAATCGTTTTTGCTCAAGTGATATATACAAAGGTTACGATGGCTGCAATCGTCCAGCACGAAGCGTTGGGCAAGGGTGGCAATGGCCAAGTGTTTCGTGCGACGTACCAAGGCCGCGACGTCGCCCTCAAGGCGGCGAGTCGTAGCTCAGTCTACGCAGCACGTGCGATGCGCGAAGAAATGATCAACACTGCAGCGTATAACTCTCCGCTCTCTTCTTCCAGTGCTTTACATGCATGTAGGTGTCGATGCCCGCATGTTGTACCGTTTTTGGCGGCCGTCGACCATGCCTCAAACACGCCAAGGATGGTCGTCGAGCTCATGGACCTCGGTGACCTGCACGTGCAGCTGGCAAAGAAGCGCGAGGTCGAGTCCGTCGAGTTGCCCTTTACGAAGATGCAAGTGGCGTGGGCGATCGCGAATGCCCTTCAAGTGATCCACGGTCTTGGCAAGGTGCACCGCGACGTCAAGAGCTTGAACGTCTTTCTCTCATCGATCCATGGCGTCAAGCTCGGCGACTTTGGCACGACCGAGACGCTTCGCACGCTCATGACCGGTGACAAGGGCACGGTTCTTTGGACCGCACCCGAGGTGTTTCGCCAGCGCGGCTCGACGTATGAAGAAGACCGCGCGTACGGGACGGCGGCCGACATTTACTCGTTTGGCGTCGTCTTGTCCGAGTTGGCGTCAGGCAACGAGCCGTACGCCGAGCTCACATGCGGCGTAAGGAGTATCACCGACAAGGTGTGTGCGAACGATCTTCGTCCGAGTCTCGGCCAAGCCTGCCCGCACTGGCTCCGCAAGCTCGCGACTGCATGCTGGGCGAAAGAACCATCGCGTCGCCCGACCGCCAAGCAGATTATCAAGTTTCTCGCCAAGCGCCTTGACGATCCTGATCTCGATCACGCGTTTGACGACGATGACGACGACCTCACGCCCGACGCGATGATGGCCGATACGACCGAGAAGCCGCCCGCGGACGACCTCTTCTCGATCAGCGAGGAGCCCTAAGCAAGTGACGTACGCAGTGACAACGTTTTTGCATGGAAAATACGCTACGAGTTTGAATTCTGCAGTGTGTTGGTGTCTTTTATTTGGACTGAAGTGCTCTGCGACTCGGGTCCTTGGTGCAGGCAAATCCAAAGTCTAGTATTCTGCTGCGGCAAACGTATACGACGAATTTATAGTTTCCTCTCATGTTCGCTGCTTGACCGATGGATGGCTTGCGTCGGCACCGGTGGTATTGGGCGGTCGTACGGTCTGCCCACCAACTTTTACTCGTTTAGAGTGACCGAGCTCGACGCCGCGAGACGCCGTATGCGGATGTCGGCGACAAGAGTTCAATTCCCGAGCAAGCAAGTGACGGCAAACTGCGTCCGAATATGAGTAACAACTGCGCGACGTGGCTCAAGGCGCTCGCAGAACGGGGCTTGGCGCCCGACCCGGACGGCCGACGATATCATTGCGACCTTACTCGCCTATTTTGACCAATCCAATCATCAGGAAATGATAGATCCAATGTAATTGGCGGAGACGTGTGCTTGCTGCGCATTCATTGGAGGAGACGGCGAACTTCGACTTGTGCATCACGAAAGAAAGGCAACACAGGTGACTGCATCATTCATTTGTCAAGCTTGCCGCAATATGGCACAAGAGCCATGCTTGCTGCCAGAGGCGCTCGACAACATTGCCCGCTTCATCAACGACCGGCATACGCTCCAAGCCTTCTTCGCTGCCGTGCCAATGCCAGAGCCCGCCGCCTTGCACGACCTCGTCACAAACCCCGACGCGTCGATCTTCGTGATGGATCGGCCCACGATCGTGCTGTACAGCGCGCCAGAGCTTGCGTCCACGGTCGCGCGTCTATATGCGCTCTTGTCGCTGCGGCCGTCGCTTTTGGTGGTGGTAAACAGTGGCACCAACCTCGACTACCTTGGCCCGCTCCTGCCCAAGGTCACGGCGATGACAGTCGAGATGCACACGGCGACGCCGACCGATGAGACGACGTGGGTGCGTGCAATTGTGCGGCGGTGCCCGCACCCCAACGAGCTGCACGTTCATCTCGCGGTGCGCCACAAGTTGGTTGCCCCACGGCTGCCGCTCCTGGCCTTTCCTGCGCTGCGGTTCTTGACACTGCGGACGAGGGTGCCCCTGGATGGGGCGTCTATCGCTACGATCCATGCGTGGCTTGAGCGGGGCACGGCCGTTGGCTTGTCCCTCGACGACGTTCATTTTCGGGAGGCGGACGCGCGCGCGCTGTGCGACGCCTTGCACGCGTGCCACTCACTGGTCGAGCTCCATCTGATCGACGTGGCCTACCTCACGCTGGCCATGCTGGGCGCTCGGCCGTTGCCGTCCACCCTCCGCGTCTTTACGTACAACAGGCTTTATGTCCGTGCGACGCCATCGCCGCTGCTCACAGCGCTGCGCAGTGCGAACCAGCTCCACACACTCGACCTCTCGGGCGGCGGCCATGTGATCCCGGGTGCGATCGCAGAGCTGCTGCCGCATTTCCCACACCTTCGGACGCTCGACTTGTCCGGGCACAAATTTGAGCCGCAAGATGACATTTTGCACCTCATTACTGCGATGGCCAAGGTCCGCTCGCTCGAGCAAATCATGCTGCGCCGATGCGACCTTCCAAACGAAGCGATTTCTGCGCTTATCGAATGCATCCCAGCATGGACGTCGCTGCGCCGCCTCGATCTCGCAGGTGTACGCCGTATTCGCGCGCCGCAGCTCCAGACGATGCTGTCGGTGCTGCTAGGATGTCCCCACTTTGCTATTCTCGGCTTGCGCTTTCCACTGTTCACGGACGCGACGTGGCGCAACATCGTCCCAGCGCTCGGCGCCGGTCTTCTGCACTGGCGGCGTCTTGTATTTAGCGAGTGCCAACCCACCGCTGTCCAAGTGCTGCAGCTTTTGCGTCGTCTCTTGGAGCACAACCAAGAACCGTTTAGCGTGACTTGCGGCAAGGGCTACTCGGAGTATGCGTTGCAAGCCGCGTATTCTGGGCTGCTTCACGAACTCGGTCCTTTGCAGCCGCCAATCCAGGCCTCTCCATGTGTCATTGCTATTGAAAAAGTTTAGTTTAGCTTAATCCATCGTTATTGTATCAAGTTTCTTTCATCATTTATTTGCTTGCGGCTTGGTACGTCGACGTTTGGAGCGTCACGGATAAGCAAGGTGCCCGGTCGAGTGGGATAAGATCTGAAAGCAGAGTTAATCGACGGCCGTCACCGACGTCTCGACGGAGCGAAAACGGCGTCGCGATACTATTGTCTCCAAGTCTTCGCGCTTGATGTTCGATAGCATTTTGTAAAGTCGTCTGCAATGGCGTTGAGAAACGCGGCTTGAGCAAGTGCAATCTCAAAATATTGCACAAAATATAGTACAAAAATATATAAATTGAGGAGCCTCTATAGCCGTTGGTGAGCGATCGCTCGGAAGCGCTGCAGCCGCACGACCTAGAGATAGAAATATAGCATGCAACAACGAATCGCACCAGAGATATGTACTTGATCTGGCGATGATGGCGATAGAAACTGGCGGTACACTGCGTCCAGCTATTGCCACCAATGGTCGTGTCGATGGCATTGCTCCAGAGACGCTTCATTCTCTACCTCGTCTGGTGACGGCTCGACGTCCAGCGTCTCTTGCAGCATACGTTTGACGTCTTTTCGGTCAAAGTACCCTTTCTCGTCCATATCAAAGCGTTTAAAACTACGGTAAATCTCTTGGTCGCCCTACATTCCATTTCATTTCACTTGATGCGACTATGTATCCAACAACATAAGGGATGTACCTGGGACTTGCCGGGTACGACGTTGTCGACCAAGTCTTCGAAAAGATCGACGGGCGACCGCGGCAGAAGATAGGTCACGAGCGCGCCATAGTCGACAAAGGGCTCGCCCGAGAGCGTCACGCCAAACCGGTCGTGCATGACGCGGAGCTCCCACGCTTGCAGTTGCGTGCGGAAAATCTGTCTCATTATTTACAGACAATATTGCGTGGCAAAATGGAAGTACCTTGAAAAACGCATGTTCAAAATCCGGGGCAAGGCGTAGTCGGCCGTGGTGGTCGGGATCCCGCGCTTGAAACAGCGTCAACACCTCTAGCCATGCATCAATCTATCAATATATCAAGCGCATCGGTCTACCAGAGAATGATGCAATCGACTGCAAGTGCTGCTTCAGACCCGGCCAATCAAATATGACATCGGCCACGTCGGTGAGGCCCACAGTACCATCCGACCTACACATTGGTTTATACCAAAGGTACATAAATCACAGAATAGGTCGAACGCTTCAAGGAGCTCCAACATCGCCAAGAGCTTGTCGTGCTTGACTGTCGTGTACTGGTCGGCAATGGGCCAGAGGACGTCGCACAGCTGGCGCGACGAGAGCCGGCCACTGCCGTCGTCGGCGTCGTCGAAAAGGACATGCAGAGGGATCTATCGTTGGACACATTTGTCCTTTCTCCAATTTTCGAAATATTTCTGCAAACCGAATGCGTGGTGATCGCATGACGCAGCCGACGGACGATGTCGGCCATGTCCGACCCTACTTGCGCCAGTCTTTTCAGATAATGTTGCCAGATGTAGCCTTACGCAGTGGCGCTTTAGTGCGCTTGGAGGGACTCATCGAACGTCGAGGTGGCGGCGACTTGCGCGGGCTGGCGCGCCGTGCCTTGGGACTTGGCACCGGAAGCGGTCGCACGGCCCCCGGGTGCACAGCATCGTCGTCGTCGCTCTCAAACCGCTTGGCCGTACCAAAGGTCGTCGTCTGGCCTTTGTGAGACAAGAGATCCCAGAGTCGCTGCAGGCGAATTTGGCCATTCCCCGCCTACATTCAGATTCAGATTCGGATTCGGATTCGAGAATTTTATTGTATAGACTATTGTACCGTGTCGAGAGCCACAATCATATCGTCGAGCTCGTCTTCGGTCCACTCCATCGGGGACGTCAAGAGCTCGATCGCGCTCACCGCTTGACGTGGCGTGAGATAGCTAGCATTTTTACATTCAGTTTGAGATTCAAAAAATAGGATAATACCCGGAGTACGGCGCCGCAAATTCCTCAAAGGCCGACTTGACTTCGGCGCGGGCGACATGAACGTGCTTCAACTTGGCCATATACGATGGACGCATTTCCTTGCGCGTCGGCGACGGACTCAACCGTCGGCGGGGACTCGGGCTGCGAGCCGGTTTCCGCGGGCTGGAAGAGCGCGGCTTCGACTTTGTCGGACTGGCCTGCTTTGTGGTGCTTCGACTTTTTCGAGGACTGACGCGCCGAGCGTCATGAGGGACGTGCGGGAACACGTGCTCGTAGAACGCATGCATGTCAATCTCATCTTCAGCGCCGCGCTAGAATATCACAATTTTGAGCTAAAACTACAAAATTACGAAAAGAGCAACTGTGGTACCTGGTACAAGGTCTGGATGACCCACGCAATCTCGGCGGCGGACCAGTGATTGCCAAGGACGCGATGGAGGTCGTGCTCTGAGATGCTAAGGAGGTTCGTAAAATGGTAAAAGGATGTCATCGAGAGATTTGAAGTCGCACTGCGTATGGTCGACGCTGAGCTTTTGAAAAATCGCGTGTAGTTTGTCATAGACGCGCGCCTCAGTCGTCGTGTCGTGGTAGAGCTTGGCTTGGAGAGCCGCCCAAGGGTTGGGTGTTTTCAGACTCATCTTGGCACTGGCCGATCTAGACACGGTTTCATCATTGGTCCATCGCAATGACGATTTGACTACCGTGGTGTAAACACCTTGGCAGGCGGCGCACAGAGCGCATCGGCCATTGCGTTGTACTGGACGCATTGATTCTACGTATTAAACGGGTTTATATAACCGTTTGGTGGAATGGGCCGACGACGTACCTCGGTGTAGGGCTGCAAAAGTGCCGTGAGCTCTGTCATCGAGAGCGTGTGACATGGAAACGACTGCAAGATCGAGAGACACGCTACATAACACAAATTTTGTGAATCCAATGTCCTTCTTTCTGCTCAGTGCATCAGAATCAAATTTGAAAAGGAACGTACCCGCAAGGGCAATGCACCCATCGTCTTCAAAGTCAAAGAGACTGCATTGCTGGAGAAGGCTCCGGTGGGAAATACGGTGCGTGCGAAAAGCCTCGCGAAGTTGCTCCAACGGCGTTGTATGGGGCTTGGACCCGAGTTCGTGTGACGTGGTGACCGTCGGACGCACTTGAAAGCGCAGGTGGTCGCGCATCTATTTCAACGCAACCTTTGTGTTGGGGATCGGCGCTAACCAAACGCACCGCGTCCACAAGAGCTCGAATGTCGACATGTGTGGCGTCCGACATGGGAAAGCCGACGCAGAGGTCGTAAAAGGCATCGGGCAGTATCTATACAATAGCGTCAATTTCTACGATAAGAAATGGTTTCAAAATAATGGTATTTACGCGAAAACGAACGAGCGACTGGAGAGTTGACAGCACATGATCGACGTGCTGGTAGGGTTCCTTGGCTTGGCGTACGAGCAGCTAGTGCACATGTCGTCATTGCACCTGTAGACTGAAAAAGAAAACGAGTACCTCCCTCGCATGCTGCACGCCGTCCCTACAGATTATATTCTTTAGGTGCAATATAAACAGCAACAACGTACGCGCCGAGTGCCCTAGCAATGTCGGCGAGCAGAGGTTCCTCGACTGTGAGCGGCAGCGATGGTTTCCGAGGTGGCTATTCCGTCATTGTAAAGCTCGGTGGAGAAGTGCGACTTGCAAAAACTCGTACCGCGCTTGGTGGTGGCGTCACGGGCAGTTGCTGCGCTTTGTGAACACGGTGCTTGGCCGTGGGCCATAGCACCAAGCTGTCCAACGCCGCCGCCATATCGACCACATACTCGCCTACGCATCGCCATTTGCTGTTAAAACACATTAGACAATGAAAGTACCCTTGTGTTTGGAGGCAAAACCGCGTAGAAAGCGCTGCATGGCGGGTGTCAAAGGGTCCCGCGCACTCGGCTCGAGATCGTTGAGCACTGAATAGTGTCTTAGACAACGTCGTGCAAGGCTTTGTACCGTGGCAGACGTGGTCGAGTGGCAAGAATTGCACTTGTTTCTTGCACTTGCCGCGATAAAACCGCTCCAACAGCTGTTGTTCTAGCACCGCGCGATCCTGATCCAGGTCATGGTTTATATAAATGACTCACTGGAGTAGGTGTACACGTCCGCAATGCGGTAGAACCAGTCGTCTACGTCCAGCGCTTGCTTCATCGTCAGCGGATCGTCTCTACGCCAATTTGAACGTCACAAATATTACATGCAAGATCGCACGGAATGGGCTCGGGCTCCGTGTCGGAGCGGTCGTCGGAGCGTGCAGTAGAGCTACTGTGCGAAATTTGACCAAAGATCAACAAAATTGTCAAAGAACATGTACCTCGGGCTGCTACGCCGACTGCTGCCACGGCTGGAGGACGCCGTCGAAAGTGGCGGGTCGAGCTGCCCGCAGAGTGCGCGAATCTGGGCCTCGCAGTGCTACAATCGGGATCGTACATAAATGGAGAGATGTGTGTCTACGTGGGTGCGTTCGCGCACTTGTTGCTTGAGGCGCTGGAGCTCGGACGACCGCAGCCGACTGCTCTTGGTACTCTTCATACGCGACCACGATTATGGTCATCTTGGGACGCCCATCTATTTTTAGATTTAGAGTGGCGTCGATTTAGTTGTTGACGTGAGTCGACTAGTAAAATAGTTACGTGGATCTATGTCCGGATGTCGAACCTCATCTAGGCCGGCGGAGGCAGGAGCGCGATCCGCGGGACAAGGTGCTGGCGCGGGCACTCGTGTTGGGCGAGGAGCCGGAGAAGACGACGAAGAGCCAACTGCCCAGGGTTCGATTCCCGGCCGGAACCTCTTTTCTAATCCTCATTTTCTGATAAGAGCGTCGCAACGGGCTCTGTTCGAATATGCTAGGAGCAGGTCTCGTAGCCCTGATCTAGATCCGAAGACCATACAGTATATATGCTAC